AGGGAGGGCCGCGGGGCGGTGCATGCCGGGAGGGAGGGAAGGATAGGCGGCCAGGACCGGTCTCCGAGCACCGGCGGCGCGCTGGGGACCTCGGCCTCGGCGTCCCGGCCACTCCGGTTTGGGGGGTTGGCGGAGGTGGAGAGTCCGGAGACGAGGCCCCAAAGGGGCGGCGCGGCTCGGCAAGGTCGTTTGGGTTCGGGGCCTCGGGCCAACTTGGCCGGAGGCAGGCGGGTCCCCGCCCAGCCAGGTGTCTCCGAGTCCGTCCCGCAGGGCCACCGCCCCGGGGGCCTGGACCGCAGGCGCCCGACGCCGGAGCGGCCACCCCGAGGGTGGTCCCCGTCCTGCGGACCCCCGCGCTGACCCTGCCGAGGAGCGACCCGGGTGTCGTGGAGCGGGGGGGGGGGCACGATCATCTGGGGAATAAAGGGCCTGGTGGCGGCACCAGAATGATTGTCCCCCCCCCCCAGTTGGAGCGATTTCCTGCCGCTGAATTAGAAGTGTGACCATTTGTTTCACCGAGGCTAGGAAGGAAGTGAAAGGGCTGGGAACCGAATGACACTTCTCCCCTGGGGACACAGACCCACTGCGCCAGGCTTCCAGTGCGTTGTTTGTGTTCCCCAACTTGCCTTTAAAAGACTCGAAGTTATCTGGATTCTGACATCCTCCTTCTCGGGCCTGCTGAGTCACGGAATATTCTCCGTGCCAGAATGACTCAGTCCGCAGAACCCCAGCCAGAAGATCAGGAGGTTTTTTTTTGTCCCAGATCAGAACCTGGGCACTTGCCCAGCCCTGATAGGCCCGGCAAAGACCTGAGCAGGGCGAGTTGCTGTCAAAATGGACCTGTGCAAGGCAGCGGGTTTTGAAACCTTTGGAGTCTCAGAGCCAAGTAGTGACGTAAATAAAATGAATGCTCGTGAGGATTCTTCATCATTCCTAATTAGGAGAATCACGTGCTACTTATAAAGGGTGGACACTGTTGTTCCTTTATTTGATGAGGTGGGTAGAAATTATGCCTGGCTAAAGATCTCTAATGATCTTCACCCTTGGCATGTCTTTGGGAAAATAAAGTGTGGGGACCAAAATACTGTATTTTTTCTCTCAGTTGAGTTAAGGCAAAAAGATCAATAAAGCAAAATAAATGTATTCCCTTACACTCAAGAGGGGATGATATTTTCATTTCATCGTAGTGAAGAACCTGTATTATTTAGCATGTAGTACCTGAGCGTAGAACAAGGTGACTGTGTTAGTTGTGAGTAAAGCTATAGAGCTTAATATTTGCATATTTAATAAACATTAGTTCATTTGCCTTATTTTAAAATATCAGTATTTTACTAGATATTGACAAGGCAAAGGCATGTCCAACTAGGATTACAGGCCTGAGCCACCGGCGCCGGGCTGAGATTTTTCTTCTTATTGCAAGTTAAGCTGTTTTTCCAAGAATCTTAAAGGAAGCACATGTGTGTGTGCACACGTGTGTGTATGTGTATACATGTGTATATGCAAGACCACTTGAACTCAGGGCCCACTTGAATCACAGTTCCATTTCTGGCTTTTTGGTAGGTTATTGTATGTAAGAGTCTCACAGATGGGTGCTGGTGATTCACACCTGTAATCCTAGCTACATAGGAGGCTGAGATCTGAGGATCACCATTCAAAGCCAGCTGGGGTAGGAAAGTGTGAGATTCTTATCTCCAGGTAATCACAGAAAAGGCCAGAAGTGGTGCTGTAGCTCAAGTGGTAGAGTGCTAGCCTTGAGCTAAAGAGCTGAGGGACAGCACCCAGAGGTCAAGACCCAGGTCTTGGGAGAGGGGGTAAAGGGGGAAGAGTCACAAGCCAGTCACCAGTGGCTCATGGCTGTAATCCTAGCTACTCAGGAGGCTGAGATCTGAGGTTCAAAGCCAGCACGGGCAAAAAAGTCCATGAGATTCTTTTCTCCAATAAAGTCCTCAGAAAAAGCTGGAAGTGGTGTTGTGGCTCAAGTGGCAGAGCACTAGCCTTGAACACAAAGAGGCTCAAGAACAGTACCCAGACTCTGAGTTCAAGCCCCAGGCCTGTGGGGGGGGAAATGTCTCACAGATTTTCCTGTCTTGGCTGATGTCAAACTACGATCCTCATATACGAGCCTCCTGAGTAGCTAGAATTACAGGCATGAGCCACTGGTACCCGGCTTCAGAGCCTTTTAAACACATGATCTTAACTTCTTGAAAGCTCCACATAATGTGATATGTAGAAGAAAAATATAAACAGATAGTTGAGTTCAGTTCCTATAAAACATGATCTTAGTGCCCAGCCATCAGTACCTCTCTATGCAGCAAGACAGGTAGGGTGACAGGATGTTGTTTCTTACACAGGCAAGAGAGCTCTGCAAATGTTTTATATTTTTTTATTGTAAAGATACTGTACAGAGGGGTTACAGTTACATGAGTAAGGTTATGAGTACATTTCCTATAGAGCATTGTTACCCCCTCTTTTGTTTTTCTTCTACTGTCCCTTTCCTCCCTGTGCAAATGTTTTTAATCCCATTTAGAATGCCAAAGAAAAGAGAGTTCCACCTATGGGGATCTAGATAAATAATTTCAAGGAACTATATTCATTGGCCTGGCTTTGGTCACCTGCAAATCCCTGGTAAACCTGCCCCTATCCTCTGGGTGAACAGAAGTATGTGATTGTTATCACACAGGAAAACTGTAGAGCTTGGGGCAAGAAGCTCCGAGGTTGCTGTAGTCAGGAGAGAGCAGATGAGGCAGGAAACAAAAAACCGATGTAAGACAAGCACCAGTGACTCACACCTGCAATCCTAGCTGCTCAGGAGGCTGAGATCTGAAGAACTCAGATCCTCAAATCAAAGCCAGCTTGGACAGAAAAGTTTGTAAGACCCGAATCTCCAGTTAACCACCCAAAAGTCAGAAGTGGAGCTGTGGCTCAAGAGGTAGAGCACCCGATTAGAATAAAAATGCTAATTCAAGCCCCAGTTCCTGTGTGTGTGTGTGTGCGCGCGCGCGTGCACACACACACACACACACTTGCACACACAAAATGTCTCCACTTTCACCATGTATGATATGAGAGAAATTTAAGTTTGATTTGTCCTTTCAAGATGGCAGCTTTGGGGCTGGGAAGGTGGCTCAGTGGTAGAGCGCTTGCCTTACATGCATGAGGCCCTGGGTTCGATTCCTCAGCACCCCATAAGCAAAAAGAAAAAAAAAAGATGGCAGCTTTATTGGTGTTTATCCTTTTACCATTATCAATGTTTATTTTCTCATTTGTTAGTCTTTCTGACCTCATTTGTCCTGTACTGTTTCCAAATCTAAGCACCACTAAGACACTTTATCTTTTATATTTAGAAGTAAAACCTATACATGAAAATTACTATTAATAATATAACCATTTCTCTCTTTTTAAAATTCCACTGAAGCAGAGGATGTTTTTCCTATGGAGAGCAAAAGGAACTAAAACCCAAAGTAATTAAGCAACCTCTCATAGGCTAGTAAGGAGCAAAACCAGACCAAGAGGCTGTGGGTCCTGGGTCCTTAGGGCCTCTCCCCTCCGCCCCTATTTTATAAGGTCCCCATAGGGAAGAAGGTAAAAGAATAGCTGTCTTACACCTCCAATGTTTTTAGGTTATCAAATGGGAATGCAAAATTAGATGAAAATTAATGCGATACTAGAAGAGAATTACAATATCCCCCACAAGTTACAGTTACTTACACACGATACTCCGTGGAAGGCTTATAGATCCTGTCTGGGCACTTGGTACAAGTCCAAGCATAACAAGATAAGCTATCTTGTGTGGCCTGTGCAGGTAAAGACAGGAATCCTCTTGCATGAGGTAAAGTCCTTTCTTTTCCCAAGCCTTATGCTCGCCATCTTGAAAGGATACTAGTTTTGAAAAGGAGTGGATAAAAGGACATTCACATAGTTCGTACAATTTTAAAACCGAGCTTTATTTATTCCAGTATACAAGCACGATAAAAAAAGGAAGCATTTCCAAACACCAGTAACAAACCTACCTAATCCTAACCCGAAATCTTCTCATCAATCAACAGAAAAAAGAACTTCAGTTCTCTCTCTTTTTTTTTGGATCGGTCATGAGGCTTGAACTCTGGGCCTGGCGCTGTCCCTGAGTTCTTCAGCTCAAGGGTAGAGCCACAGTACCACTTCCAGTTTTCTGGTGGTTAATTGAAGAGTCAAGTCTCAGGGACTTTCCTGTCCCAACTGTCTTTGAACCGTGATCGTCAGATCTCAGCCTACTGAGTAGCTAGGATTACTGGCGTGAGCCATCAGCACCCGGCTTACATTTTTATTATTTATTTATTACTATTAATTATTACCCACAGGTAAACTGCATCTCACAACAGAAAAAAGATAGATCTTTCATTGTGAGAATTCAAAATATCTCTAACAAGTTAACTCCCAATGATTAATTACTATAAATAAGAAAATTCTTTTTAAGCTAAAATTTCTCATTGTAGTGTTTTCTGGCACTTAATTGCTCACAGTTTGTTTCCTTATTTTCTTACATAGTAATATATGGCAGCAGGGATTTTGGAGAGTATTTGGAGGTCATGTTAAATTAGAAACATCATCTATAATATATTTTTCCTAATCCAAGGCCTTGAGTTCAAATCTAGTACCACAAGAAGAAAGAGGAGGGGAGGGAGGAGGGGGGAGGAGGGGAAAAAAGAGGAGAAAGAGGAAGATAATTGAGATTTTTTTTTTTTTTGCAAGGCAAGCACTCTACCACTGAGCCACCTTCCCAGCCTGAGATTTTTTTTTTTTTTTAAATCCTGGCACCTCACCTGTAATCCTAGCTATTCAGGAAGCTGAGATCTGAGGATTCCAGTTCAGGGGCAGGCAGAAAAGCCCATCAGACACTTATCTCCAAATATCTCCAATAGTAAAAACAAATAATAATAATTAATTTAAAAAAAAAACAGAAGTGGGGTTAGCACTCAATTGGTAGCCTGCCAGCCTTGAGTGAAAAAAACTAAGAGGCTATTTTAGCATCCAGGCCCTGAGTTCAAGCCTCAGTGATTGCACACACACACACACACACACACACACACA